CGTCTGACTGACTGTGGGGTGGACAGGTGTCTTTAAAAAGCTCAGTGCTACTAAGTTAGATTAATGAGTGGAGTAGAGGTGGACTTTTTAAAGGCACAGTAAGAGGTCTTTGAGAGCCAGAATTCTTGGTGTTTCTTAGGTGTTCAAATACTTATGTTCAGCAGTGCAAGACAAATAAATTCTTTAAAAAATCATACAATGTGATTTCCTGAATTTTTTTTTTTTAAATTCTGTCTCTCAGAGTGGGAATGCACCTACAATGTGAATTTCAGACCCCTCCATGATTTCTAAGTGGGAGAACTTGCAAAATTGCAGGGTGTTCAAATACTTCTGTTCCTCACTGTATAGAAGAGTTGTGCAAGCTTGTGCTAGCACAACTCTTTGTTAATTCTCCCCATTATGGGAAGTTCTTATTCTTCCCCTTTAAAAAGAGAAGAGAAATTCCCAGTAAGTTTATCACCAATTGTATATACACCAATCAAAACTCAGCAGAGCCTCTACCTCTTCTCTGCTCTATCCAAAACAAAATGAAAAAAAAAAAAGTGCCATTCACTCTTGAGCTGAGCATCTTTGGTCCTTTTTTATGGACTTTGTATGGGTGTTGGTCATATATTTTTCAGGCACTCAGAATAAAGTCTGTTGGGCCAAAACACATGACTCATGCCCATAAAGAAGCAGATACTTTTTTGAGTGCCAAGCTTCAAGTTGCACTATGTTTAGGTGTCACCAAGCACACTTCAATACAATCCTAGTGTCGTGTGTTGACTCTCTTCTGACAAAGTTTCACACTTCAAATTTCTCAGGTGGGAACAAGACAATAAATAGAAGCAATACCAATACACTTTTCTGATGAGTCATTTTATCTTTGCAGATGTTGCATTTGGGGGTTTTACTTGCAGTATATGTTGATTATACAAGAAGATACAATTTGATTCAAAACGTTACTAAACCTGGGACACTGCATTCACTATATCTGGTCTCCCACAGTACACAGAACATGGAAGTGCAATTATTTTAGTAAATATAAACTGCTAAATATCTTTTCTCATCAGCAGTTAGTGCAGTCTTGTGACTTCAGCTGACCACTGGTTAAAGCTAGTAGGAGGAGTTTTCTTTCTGATTTAAGAGGATGTAAAACCCCTGCCCTCTGTATGGACAGTGCTGATTGTCCCTGTGCTGATCACATGCACTGTCCCAAAAAAAAAAATACACACTAAACTAAGCATGTGCAGAATGGCTAAGGTTCAGTCTGCCTTATTAGGAGATAAGGCGTGACATTTGAACAAGAGGAGGAGCAGGGAAGTCAGGATCAAACAGCCTTAATACACAATGCAGAGGATTAACCTGTTAGCTTCCACAGTGAGTATAACAAGCATGTTTTACTGCATATACAGACTGATTTTTCTGTTGAGGGTTTAGTAACACTTTAACCGCAGAAATACTGCTACAGGGCGGCAGGGATGTGCAAAATCACGTATATATAAGTGATTTTGCATTTCCGGGTAGGGGGCTCGTGCCCTACCCACACCACCATTCACGGCCTCAGCTGTCAATCACCAGGTCACGGCCGTTGATTACTCACTGGCACTCGGTGATCGCCCAGTATTACCAACAGGGGAGAGAACTGTATGAAAAAAATACAGTTCTTTCCCCTGTCCGCTCCAGCACACTGCTTTGTATGGCTCTGCATAGCAGAGGAAGAGAGGTAAATCCTCAGGAGGGCAAGTGACAAAACATTTCCTTAGTTTTGGATAGAGTGGGGAAGGATTAGAACTCTTGTCAGGTATTAATGCTCTCCAGATATCTGCTAGAGAAATTTCCCCTCAATTCTTGTTTTGGGAACAATGTTTTAACCAGACAGGAAGTAAGGGAAACAAACAACAATAAAAAGGTAAGCACACCCCTATTTAAAGTGACACTAAACAATATCCTTATTCTCCAAAAATAATCTATACACATCTACTATTAAATGTCCCTGTAATCTGTTTTTCATGAAATTGTTTCTTAATGTGCTTTTCTGCCTCCTAAAAACATTGCTGTGCGCTGCAGCTCATATACATTGGCAAGGAACGTTGGTGCATTGCACCGCCATGCGTAATGCAGATTACAGTGTGTTGGCGTTATCACAGCTTAGCAGGGGCGTACTGACCATTTGAGCACTCGGGCACTGCCCGAGGGCCCGGGTCAGTAGGGGGCCCCATAAAATGCCCTTGGTACCTTTTTATAGGCTTTTTTGGGTGTGTTTTGAGTGTGGGCAAGGACACAGGGGCCCCGTGATTCCCAATTACCCGGGGGGCCCCATGATTTGTCAGTCCACCCCTGCAGCTGTGTCTCTTTTGAAATAGTTTTTTTTATCTGCTTGCATATAAACATTATTAGTTGATTTTCAGGGGGACTGTTCCTTCAATACAGCAGAGATCATGTGATCAAAGCTTTAGACCAGGGTTTCTCAGCTAGGGTTCCTTCAGAGGTTGCTGGAGGTTCCTTGAGCAATGAGCAATGCCTGCCTCTCAGATAAATTCCCACTGACACCAACTGACCATCACACTAATGTATCATGAGTTGTAGATGTAGTAATTTTTTGCAGGGGTCCCCTGAGACTGGAAAGTTATTTCAAGGGTTCCTTTTAGGGATGCGCTGATACTATATTTTTATCGGCGGGTACGAGTATCGATACTTTCAGTCATCTACTCGCCGATACTACTTACCTATACTTTGCGGTGATGTGCGTTAATGGACACAAATTGAATTGCAAAGAATATCATGTGATTTGAACAGGAATGCAATTCCTGTCCAAATCGCATGTGGTTTCCTCACTGATCCTGTGTGAACCCAGGCTTGTCATAGCCCGAGTTCACACAGAAGCGTTGCGGGAAACCTTTCTGCAGGCATCCTAGGCTGAGTCTCAGTGGTAGGAGAGGAGAGAAAGCTGCTGGGATTTGAAATCCCTGCCACTTTCTTTCCTCTCCTTTCAGTGATGACAGTTTGGGCTAGAGAACTTTTGATTCATCAGCACCGTCACATTGTTGACCAATCAAAAGTCCTCTAGCCCAAACTGTCATCACTGCAAGAAGGGGAAAGAAAGCGGCAGGGATTTCAAATCTAGCCCAAACTTTAATCGCTGCAAGCAGAGAAAAGGAAGCTTTCTCTCCTCGACTACTACTGACACTCAGCATTGGATATTGACCATAGAAAATATGCAGCACTCATATGCCAGATAGTATTATATTCGCATAAATCAAATAATCAAACAAAGATTTATGGTTAAAATAAAACATTAAAATATTAAACTTGTGACTTCTGTGGTGCATCCAAGGTTGAAAAACCGGAAAAAAGTTTGTGACTCTTGTGGTAAAGAACTGAGAATAGCTTGCACTAACCAGATGTCTCAGCACATGGAGCATGGAGTAATTAAGACCTACTCCTGGTACTCTGAAAAGGAAGCCACTGGAAAGGATGATGTCATCTTATCTCTCGCCACTAGATGTCATGTTCCCAGGACAGCAGGACAGAGATCCCAGAGGTGTACATCAGCCAATGGAGGGATTTATCCAGCACATCAGTCAGCAACCTGCAGAAAGCCAGGAAAAATCGAGCACCTTCAAAAAGCCCAGGCTCCCTCCATAATAAGAGAGCCACAGGCCAGAAGCTTTGATAGTGTAGTAGGTATTTATTTGTGCAGTAATTTCAAAATGAATCAAAAACACACTTACAGAAATTCAAAAAGCAGGAACCATAGGGCAACTATATAATATGTCCAGACAGTTGGGGGGCACCTTGTGACGCGTTTCGTGTAACATACACGTTTTCAAAAGTCAGCATTGGATGCCTGCAGGGAGGTTTCAGACACCACTCCAGCTGTGACAAGCCTGGGTTCACACAGGAGCAATGGGAAAACCGCATGCAATTTGGACAGGAATCACATTCCTGTTCAAATATCATGCTAATCATTGCGGTGCAATTTGCGTCCATTAACATAAATCACACCGCAAAGTATCGGTTAAGGTATTGGGAGTATTTTCACGAGTACTCCTGAAAATACTTGGTGTTGGCACAGATACCAGTATCAGTGCATCCTTAGTTCCTTTGTTTTGAAAAGGTTGAGAAAGTATGGTTTAAGCTCTTGGTCTCGTGCCTGTCATAGGAAATCAATATTTATCCATTCCAGTAAGAATATTAATATACTGTAGGTATAGTGCTTTTTTGCACAGCACCTTATGCTGTAATGTTTGGTTTTAGCATACAGGCTGCTGACACTTCAGGGTCAGTTGCAATGTGTTGCAGTGTGAATGGGGCACAGAGAAAACAATTGTTTTATATGTGCCCTGGGGTTGACCTATGTTGATCCAGTGTAGAAAAAGCTCTGGTCACCGCATTATGTGTGAATAAAGTTGAACTGTAGGCTGTTATGTACACAGATACAATACTAATATAGAAACTGTTTTTCCTGCTAAAATATATGTTTGTCCATCCTTCCAGTTCTGCCACAGCCTTTCAGGGCAAGACAATCTGGTAACATATACAGGTCTTGTCCCTCCCCATCAGCAAAAGGAGAAGCTGCACTCTGAAGAGCTCATCTCTCTGCAACTCTTCTCTTTTGTTCTATGTTCTCTGTTAGCACATGAAAGTGTTACTAAACTCACAACAGTAAAATCAGTTTGTACATGCAGTAAAGCATGCTTGTTATACGCACTGTGAAACCTAAGGGGTTAATCCTCTGCATTGTTTAAAAATGCTGTTTGACCTCATCTTCTCTGATCCTCCCCTTCTTCCAGTGTTCCGCTCTTATCTCCTGATGATAAGACATATCGTGTGGAGACACTCTGCATATGCTCAGTTTAGTGTGTATTGCTAAAGAGTTTTTTTTTTTCTTGGGAGAGAGTGCATGTGATCAACACAGAGCCAATCCGCATTATCCAGACAGAGGTAAGGGGTTCTGCATCCTCCTAGAGCATAAAAAAACTCTTCCTACAAGCTTTAACATGTGCTCTGTTGGACACTGATAGAAGTCTAATTGTTGATAAGAAAAGGTATTTAGCATTCTATATTTATTAAAATAATTGCATTTCCATGTTGTGTGTACTGTGGGAGACCAGATATAGAGAATGTAGGGTCCTGGGTTTAGTAACTGTCAGGGCTCCTGGTATGACCAGAGGTGTGTGGACCGACACAGGGAAACACAGACTTCAGGTATAGAGTGTAAAACAATATAATTTATTAAGGGCAACACAAACATAAACGCAGTGCAACAAACCAAACCCAAACTAACACGAATACGTACAACAAGGTGCAACAAACCCAAACCTTAACTGATATATATATAAATATGGAGAACAACGTAGTCAGGCGGGCCGGGTCGGTAGCTAACGGGCAGACAAGGTACAAGGAGTAGGCAGAAGATTGGTCAGGAGTAGCCGAGGTCGGTGCAGGCAGAGTTCAAGCAGAGTCAGGATCAGGCAGGAAGCAGACAGGATGCAGGTACAGGGGCTCATGGGAACAATACACCAAGGCCCTGACTGCAGGCCTGGCCATTCCTTAAATACACCTCCTGCAATCAGCCTCAGGTGATGGCTTGATTGTAGGAGTGAGCTTCTGGCTGCTGAGAGCACCCGCTGGCCAGCCCTGGTACTGCAGCCCACAAGGCAGGTGAGTCCCACCACCATTGACGAGTCCATTCCTGACAGTAACACTTGATCACTGCAACACAGCTAACTAGTGCCGCTACTCCATGTCCAAATCAGAGCTCTGCTTTAGGTAGTTTACACTGCTTGTTTAAAAAAAAACAAGTCAAGTGCGAAAATAAATGACACAGGCATGAGATAAAGGAATGAAAGAATTGGACTGAACAATTGGGTACAGGATCAGCCAGTCCCTCTGGTGCAGTCTACAGGTCAAGAAAACAAAACCGCAACAATAAACAGGAATCAACTATAAAGGGCACAATGAAAAATAAATAACAATAAGCATAATCACCCTGTAGTCAGACAGCAGCACATAATGCAGCAAAAGTAAATTGTCAGAATAAGAAAATATAAATAAAAATAAAGAAGAAAAAAGGAAGAAAAAGAGCACGAAAAAAAGAGAGTAAAGGAGGGTCAGCCACAAACCCATTAAGGAATGGAGAGGTAGCGAATCCATGGATCCTAAGTACTGTCAAACTATTAGGCAATATTTTTAAGAATACAAGTGAGCTTGTCATTAATCATTATCCAATTAAGTTTATTTTTGACATCAAGTGGCATCACCAATCGCTTCCAATTTTTAGCTATTGTAATTCTAGCAGCCAGGAGAATGTAAAGAATCAGTTTGACTGATTTCTTGGGGATACCCGAGGGTAACTTCTGAAAAAGGGTAACCTCCGGAGACCTATGACTATTCACTCCTGTCACTGAATAAATAAAATTAAATATACAAATTTAAATCTAATTACCACAGGACAATGCCACCAAATATGGCACATAGTTCCCTCCTGCCCACAGCGCTGGAAACAGGAGGGTGACGTGGTAGGATACATTTTTGCAAGGCGTGTAGGAACCAGGTACCAGCTCAGGAGCGTTTTATAATTAGATTCAATAAGTGTAGTATTAATAGAAATTTTTGGACAAAGCGTAAGCCGTATCTTGCCAGTTAGTTTTAAGGAGATATGTAAGTGCCTTTCCCACTGTATCATATAAGGAAGCTTGGTTGTTGGATCAATAAGGGAAGTATATATAGTAGATACATGACCCTTCAGTATACCAGAAACTCAACAAGAGAGTTCGAAAGAGGTGAGTGTTAAGGGTTCCATTAATAGTTTAAGTTTGGATTGATAAAGGACACAATTTGTTTATATATAGAAAGATTTCACTAGGGGGTAGTTGGTGCTCACCTCGAAAATATTGTGAAGAATATAGGCGATTCCCATCTAAATAGTCCCAGATACGTAGAAAGCCCTTATTGATCCACCACTGAAATAAAGAGGGCACAAGCCCAGGTATAAATTCACAATTTCAAAAAACAGGAGCTAAGGGGGTATGGAGGGAAGATAAGGATTTACAGATACGCAGCCTGTCCCATACTGTTAAAGAATAAGATAATATAGGGCATAAAATGGGAGGACGCAGTCAATTGGGAAGCCACATAAGAGAGCCGATAGTGTAAGGATGACAAGAGAGGGCTTCAATACTAACCCATTTGGGTTTAGGACCCTTGGCTGTAATGTAGGAGAGCTGCATTATCTGGGCCACATGGAATTAGGCCAAGTGGTTGGGGAGTCCCGCCATGTTTTTTCTGGTAATACAATGTTGAATTGTTAAGTCGGGGGCACTTATTACTCCACACAAATCGAGAGATTTCTGATTTTAATCACAGTATTTCTCCTGTGTGGACCACAATCAGTAATGTCCGAAAAAAATAGAGTAATATTGGTAGGAAAGTCATTGTGATAGTTGATTCTACCGAACCAAGACAGGGGGAAATCCAGCCAGCTATGCAGATCTTCCTTGAGTCGTTTAAAAAGTGGGGGACAATTGGCACAATATATGTTGCAATATAATGTGTAGATGGACCCCTAGGTAAGGGAGGGAGTGGGCAGCCCACTGAAAATCAAAATTAGAGTGCATCCCAAAACCAGAGAGAATTGACGAAGCAGAGTCAACAAATTGGGCAAAGATGTTCGGGGATTGGAAACATACATAAGCACACCATCAGCAAACAGGTCACATTTGTGTTCTTGTCGACCTCATTGAATAATTGAATACCCGAGATGCAGGGTGAGAACGAATAGCAATAGCAAGGGGTTCTATTGCCAGCTAGAAAAGTAAGGGAGAGAGCGGACATCCCTGTCTAGTTCCACGTCTGATAAGAAGAAGAGCGGATTTATACCCACAAATAGAAGCCTGAGATGAGGGATTGCAATATAGAGCTCGTGGTAGAGAAATAAAAGTGGAGTCAAACCCAAAGGCGCTCAACGTATGAAATAAGTAGTCCCAAGTCAAGCTATCAAATGCTTTGTGAAGATCCAGAGATAGCAGCAAGATTAAGGTTCGACAGATCTGATCAAGTGTTTGTTGTCCCCGTATAAAGCCTGATTGGTAATCATGAATGTAGTTTGCCAGAAATGTATTGAGGTGTAAGGCCAAAACTTTAGTAAGGATCTTGAAGTTTCCATTGATCAGAGAAATAGGGCGGTAATTAAGAACAGCAGTGGTATCCTTATTAGGCTTGAGAATAACACTAATATACACTCTATTCTCATCATGTGGCACTACACCCCCATCCCGTAGATGACTGAAGTAAAGAGCCATATGCGGAACCACTAGGTCTGAAGAGGTTTTATAATAATTATGGGGAAGACCATCAGGTCTTGGTGATTTTATGAAGAGCTAAAGTTTTAACAGCTTGCTGGATTTCCTCACTAGTGATAGGTTGGTCTTTGTGAGCCTCCTGGAGAGATGGGAGAGTCAAAGATGTCAAAAAATTATCAACAGATGTGGAGGCGTTTTCTCGAGGTTGATGAAAACGGTCAGTATAAAAGGAATTAAATTCTTGAAGAATTTTGCAAGGGTCTTGGGACACATGACCAGTCGATAATCTAATTTTAGGGAGAGCTATATGAGAATTTGGGGGAGATAGTTTATGTGCCAGCAGCGAGCCCAGTCTATCCCACCATGTGAAAAATTTGTGGTTAGCCCAACGTAACTGTTTATCTGCCAAAGTAGTGAGGCATAAATTAAGTTCCCTGCGGGCATGGTCAAGTATAGTCAACAAGTCAGGGTCGAGAGTTTTTTTATGTTGGGCAGCAAGAACACTATATGCTTCTAATTTAGCCAAAATCAATTCATCACAAGCCTTTTTAAGTTGGGAGGATAGTTGAATAAAAGAGCCCCTAACTGAAGCTTTGTGGGCCGCTCGATTTATAGCAGGATTCGTGTCCTCTGCTTTATTTGTTTCAAAATAGAATTTCAGATGAGTAGAGATATCGACACAATAGGATTCATTGCTCAAGAGAGATTCATTAAGGTGATAATTAGGGTTAGCCCTCCTAGTCATCAAGGTAGAAAGCGTTAAAAGGACAGGATCATGTTCAGACCAAGAAGTAGAAACAATCTTAGCAGTGAGCAATTTAGGTAGCAGCCTCGAGAGGAGAAACACATGATCAATGCGGGAATAACAATTATGAATTCTGGAGAAATGAGAATAATCTCGAGAACTTGGATTAGCCTCCCTCCAAGTGTTGACCAAATCGTAGCGAAACAATAACTGAGCAAATTTGCGGCTCTGCCTGGAAGGGGACCTAAGCATGGTAGCACGAGAGCTGTCCAATATCTGGTCTAATGCTAAATTAGAATTTCCAGCCATTATAACATCACCCTCAAACTCTGAAGCCAAAGAGCAGAGTAGGGATTGGAAGAACCCCACCTGATTAGTATTTGGTACGTAATAGACCAGAAAGGTAACCAAATTTTCTCCCAGATGCCCCTTCACCAAAAGATAGAGGCCGTCCTGATCCTTAATTACCTTAGTTTCGGTGAAAGATAAGTGTCAGGATAGGCAAAGCACAACCCCCCTCTTCCTCTCCAAAGCATTAGCAAAATAGCAAACTGGATAATCTTTATGCACATATCATGGGAGGAAGAAAGGCGGAAAGTGTGCCTCCTGGAGGGCCACAACGTCAGCTCCTAAAGTGCAGTAATGGTGGAAGGCTTTAATATGTTTAGAAGGAGAGTCAAACCCCTGGACATTATGGGAAAGCAATCGAATGATACCTCTAACAGACCGATGTGAGGACATAGTTAGCAACAAAATTCCAATGGACATGTAAGCTCACCAGCCTTTGCGAAGCAGCAGGAATCCTAGATATCCGGTAGAGGGCTAACCCTCATGAAATGAGAAAGAAAAAGATTAGAAAAATCAAAAAAAAATAGACACTTGGCGTAAACATCACTCGGTGCCAGAGGAAATATTACAATATACATCATAAAGCAACATGGAAAAAAATAAACCAAATTGCCCAGGGCTACGGCCCTGGAAGGGAATGGGTCTTCTCAAAGACCAACCTCTGGGGAGAGTCCTCCGATCTGAGAGGGCACATAGACACCTCCTGGCACAAAAAGAAATGTGTAGAACATAAATGGCAAC